TACGGCAAGTTTCGAAAATTTTAGTCATAACAAAAGATATAAAAAGCCTCTTTCTTTAAGAATGATGAAAAACTGACATTAGAATTTTTCCCTCGGTCATATGAGTAGGCCTACACTTTTCATTAAATTTCATATAACCTACCGGAAACAACATCATCTTGGAATTCATATCTTCATGTAAACTACGGCAGTAAAATTGCCCTGAGTAGAGCTGCACAAAGAAGACAACTTGTGTAAACTGTTGTAAACTCCTCGGTTCTGTGACATTAAGAGACCCTACCACTCGAATAAAGTTAATGACTATCTCCACCAGGCTTCTATGCAGAAACTAAGTGAGAATTATGTTACTGAGAGAAATAAGCTGTTTAAGTTTATAGATATTAAGTCAAAGCTCCGGCGTGATTTGGCCAGGATCCTGACTCCGGAAGACTTTCAAAAACTCCAAAGTATGACCGACAGGAAATCACGACAGAAGACATCCTGATGGAGGTTATCAATATCTCCAACAAATTCCATGAGAAGACAAAACGAAAAATGGAGATGGAACTAATCGCAAGGATCTTGACACAGCAAAAGCCAACAAACAGGAACCGATTTGCCAGGATACGCAAGACCCTGGAAACGAATGAACAAGTAGTCCTTCAGATAAATTAAGGAGAGACAAAAAAGAATACACCGAGAAGATGGAAAATATTCTACGAGACAGGACCACATATCGTATGCTAAACAAGGACCCAACTATGAAGATTAATGGAATCTTAAGTGGTATGCTGAAAGATATGCATATGAATTGGCAGATTGACGCAAGGACAAGAAATTCAATCATAAGAAAGGATGCTCAACCACCGAAAGCCTAAGGATTACCAAAGATATACAAAGAAAGCGAGGCATCAAGGCGGATAGTCAACAACAATTATGCAGAAATACACAAATTAGCAAATTTTATACGTTTTAAACTCGAGAAATTGAATGAGCGGCTATTAAAAAACGGTGAAACAATTATATGAATTTTCTCAAAAAATAAAAAACATGACACTGGAAAAAACAGACTTAATGGTAAGTTTCGATGTGGAATCCATTTAGACAAATCTCTCTGGAGAGAATACACTAATGGTCCTACTGGAAATGTTGACCTAGAGTTGGATATCTTGAAATCGCAACGGATCGGTAGGGAGTAGTTAACAAAACTAATCAACTTGACAATAGGGACCGCCTATTTTACATTCAACGGGATCATCTATGAACAAATATTTGGATCGCCGCTCTCACCACTTTTGGCCAACGTAACCATGAACAAAATAGAAGAACGCTTCAAGATGGCACCGCTACAACCGGCAGTGTTCATGTGGTACCTGGATGATTATTCCACACTTTGGTCACATGGAAGAGAAAAACTGGTACCTTCTCAGACGCTCCGCCGGCATCGTAGTCGGCATGATCAGTCAGTTTTGCCATTCGCCGCACCAAGCTACGAACTCGTCAAAGAGACAAGTGAGAAATTGTGATATGGCCAGAGTTGGATAAGAGGGTAAAGAGTGTATAGATAGGCCAGGACAGAAAGAGGAGTGATGGTGAAACCGTTTTCGGCAGAAAGGTTGTTGAGGGATTGGCTTCATTTGTCGCTTTGACGAGTTCGTAGCTTGGTGCTGCGAATGGCAAAACTGACTGATGATGCCGATCACGATGCCGGCGAAACTTCTGAGAATGTACCAAGTCAACTGTCTGATGCTGGGAATCATGACAACTACTATGCCAGACGACATCAGACTATTAAGTCCCCCTGACAACAAGACCAAGTTGTGACAACGAGGTGAACCCACTTCATATAAAGTTGTTTCCTTAAGTATTAATTTTGGCATGTTCAACAAAACAAAATAAATCATTCACTAATCTAATTACCAGTGAAGCATCACATTAAAACAAGACTCCTTTTCTCCAAGTTAGCATAGCAAAACGCAAAATAAAAGTGTGTTTTAGGGGTCCTCTGTCATAGTAATTATCATATTTCAAAGCGTCAGACTGTAGACTCGACAAATTCTCAGACCTTTCGCGGCATCGTCTTTTGACAAGTTGAGAATGGCAAGATTCGATGAAGATGCAGAGGCGCCAATGGAGCATCCAGTTCTGCGGAAGAAGGCACCATCAGACCAATCACAAAACAGCCAACTTGGCATCTTTCCAAGTCTCCATGGAATGGTTCTTTGGCATCTCGACCGTCTTGTATGTCACGATCCGCCAAAGCGTCTACTTTCAGCAAAAGCGATCTACCATCCACACTGTCGTCAGTTCGTGTGGGATGAAGAAAGCTTTTCTCAAGCCACCTTTTGTCGAGTTCTGCTGCATCCCTTCACAGAATGTCGTGAGGATGAGTGTCGTCTTCAAGGGGGAGGTACCAATTACAGTCTAGGCCGTCTTGAAGACAAGTATAGAGACATATTTTGTCATTGAAGCTAAATTAGCCCATGCCAAACAGACAACGGTTGCTGGAGCCAACGTGTGTTGGGAGAGGACCAACGATTTGGGTCAGTGTGTTGGTGAAATCATCACAGCAACGACAAAGAAGGGAAGTTCCAGTTATTGAAAAAAAATTGATAAGGAATTCATTTGTGCGTTATTTGTTAATTTCAAAGGAAGATTACGTAAATTGCTCTCATCGGCTGGCTTGTGTTTTGCTCACTGTCATGTGCAGATCATCATCATGTGACAGATGGCATCAGGACAAGAAACGATGGCGTTAAGAATTGGCAATATTTTTTCATAAACTATGAATATTCCCTTGGACAATGTCTGTGATGGGACAGGCGAGAAGT